TGTTGTTGTGTAGCTGTGTGTTGTTGTAGCTGTGGTTGTTGTGTAGCTGTGTGTTGTCGTGTAGCTGTGTGTTGTCGTACGTGTCTCAGGAAGCAGTGTGCGGCCCTCAGCGGGTGCTTCCAGCAGGCCTCCAGTTCTCGGAGGAAGAACTGACTGTGGAAGTCCAGCAGCTTCTCCAGGTTCCCAAAGACCACAGAGCGCTTCCCCCGGAGGTCCTGGGGCAGGTCGGCCCGGTCCATCTCGGGGAAGTAGTGGTGGATGATGTAGCGCAGGGAGCGGACATACTCACGCTCCGTGGTCACCATCTCCTCCACGATGTGACGCAGCTTGCTGCACCAACACAACACATGATGCTGAACCTTTCTGGGCTTCACATGAAAGCTACAGGCTAGCTACATGCTACATGTTAGCATAGCAACCATGGGGTCAGTCTGTCAACAACAACATCATTTACAGCTGTTATGTAGAGCCATGATCAGTGTGTGTACTGTTTTAATAAGATCAGTCTAAACTGTGTGATTGCACCTTCTTCATTGAGAATCTTGACAGAAACAAAGAAACTGTCCTGACCACCCACCTTCCTCGTGGTCGCGGGTCTGCGGGGGTCCCAGGGGTTCTGGGGGTCCCAGGGCTGCGCGGTCCTGTCCCTGCCCAGCTGTGAGCAGGCGTCCTGGGGCAGAGCGTGTGGTCGGCCGCCTCGGTGCTGCTCACCTCCAGGCCGCGGATGAACACGCCGGTGTTTCCGCGGCGCACCGGCTCGCTGAGGGCCCGAGGACACGGGCCAAAACGCAACGCCTCGGGGGTGGAGGGCCCGTCGAAGCTCTGCGTCTTCCTCAGCTGCTGCCGCCGACAGGACAAGATGGAGGACGAGTGGAGGCGGGGCAGGCTGGGGCTGGAGGAGCACACCTCCACCCGCTCAGATGACTCCTCTGAGGAGGAGGAGCTGCGGAACAGACGCTGCAGGAGGGGCGTGTGCTGGGGGGTGGGAGGGGAGGCGGAGCTACAAGGTGAGGAGGTGAGCGGGAACGGGGGGGCGGAGCTACGAGGAGGCGAAGGGGTGTCCTCCTCCAGGGGGCAGGAGGAAGACAAAGAGCTCTCTCGGACTCCCCACAGTCCTGACAGACTCTTCCTGGAGGAGGCGGAGCTCCAGCTGAGGGTGGAGTCAGAGCGGCGCCTGTGGGTGGAGTCTCGCGCCCTGAGCGCCGCCTCCATCTTCCTGTCGAACATCTTCTTGGTCTCCTGACACTTCGACCAGGCGAAGCTCCACTGACGGAGGCCCCGCTCGCCCCGCAGCTCGCCCGCTGCTGCCTTCATCTCCTGGAAGCGGCTGTCTGGGATTGGTGGGTGCTGACGGTGGTAGTCCTCCAGGCAGCCAATCACAGCCTGGCATTTGTCTGGCAGCGTGCACTCCTCCATGCTGATCCCGGCTAGCTGACGCATACCCTCCAACGCCCAGCCATACGCCTGCAGAGAGAGAGAGAGAGATCACATGGTGTCAGAGGGGGCGTGGCCTCACTGTGCACTGACAGGAAGTGACCATAAAACTGTTGATTGGTGGGACTTCTGATGCCTGCAGCATTTCAACAGACCAAATTCCAGATCTTTGTAAAGTCATAAACAACACTGACCAAAAATTTGCCAGAAACTATAAAAAAAACACAAAGAATCATCAGATCTTCCATTTTCTGATGTTCTGTGAACTCATCATCTGTGACGTTCAGTTTCAACAAAAATTGTGAAAATCACTTTAATCTACAAGCGTCATTTTAAAATCATCAAAAATAAACTGTTTGCAGCAGAATCTGTAAGAAACTAAAACCTCCTGGTTCCACCTGATCCTCACTGAGTGACTCAGCTGGACAGGCTGAGAGCTGAGACGGTTCTGATCCAATTAATCTGCAGATGATTCACATTCACAAGAACAGCAGCTCTATAACGGTGACTGACAGCAGCATCTAAAAACAACGTCTGCAGTGAGCTCAGACCAACAGGAGGCGCTGCAGAGCTGGACGAGGCTGAAGACGGAAACACATACGGCACCGAGGTTGTAGTCAGGGCGCGCTGAAGTGTGTTCATGTGTGTGTGTTTGCGTGTGTTTATGTGTGTGTTCATTTGTGTGTGTGTTTATGTGTGTGTTCATGTGTGTGTGTGTGTGTGAGTAGGCGCCATAAAGGAGCCGACCGCCGACCTCCTCTTTGTTCAGCTCTGGTGGGGGAGGAGACGTAGTAGATGAAAGAATAGAGGCCTCCTGGATCTACTGATCGACTGAAGGAGTCTTAAACTCCTGATTGAGAACACACACACTCACGTAGACACAAACAGACACACAGACACAGACACACACACACTCACGTAGACACACAGACACACACATAGACACACACACACATCAGTGTCATCAGTCAGCTCTGCTGTGGGGACAAACCAGCTGCAGTGACAGTGAGTGAGCAGCAGGTGGCGCTCTGTTGACCCATTAAATGAGTTGTATTCCTCTGATAACAGTTTATATGTCAGATGCATAAAACCAAACCAAGTCATGGGAACAACAGAGAGATGTGCAGCATGCAGGAATGTGAAATGTGTAAAAGATGAAACCATATTACAGCTGTGCATTAATGTTACTGAGTCAGTGTGTCACAGACCAGCTGCAGTACCTGGTTGTTCCACCAGGTGGAGCCTCTTCCTGTTTAGTCCTGTAGAGACCAGAGGAGGCGTCTACAGACTACAGCTCCTGGTGGCAGCAGAGAGCATTGTGGGAGTTTGGCAGCACCGGGACCATGACAGAGACTCTGAGGAGGTTCAGGACCTCCAAGCAGAGCTCTTTAGTTAAAGATGACATGAAATCTTAAAGATCATCCTGATAACTGAGGTGGAGGTCACATGTGCTCCACTCAGTAATCAGTTATTGATTGACAGCATTGCCAGCTACCAACAACAACACTGTTTAAGATGTGCGTCCCTAACTGACACTTAAAGTTCTCTCTGCTAATGCTGCCATCTCAGGTGTGTGTGACAGGTTACCTGGTCATGTTTGAACTTGTGATGAATCAGTTGTATTTGTAGAGAAACTGAGATTAACTAACTCAAACATTTACCTGTTCAGGTGGAAGCTATGACTCACTGCATCCACCTCCAACAAGCCTCCATTCATCCCTAACGACAGGACAAGACTCAACAGGCAGACAGAGTTCAGCACACAGCAGCAAAACCGGCTCCAGTCTGAAAGGTCAAAGAACAAACCGGTCCAGAGCTGCTGCCGGTCCAGATGACTCAGGAACACGCTGCTGCGCCGTCTCAGGCTACCAATCTGTTGGTTAGCTCTGGATAATGTTTGGGCTCAATTTAGAGAATGTAATGTTTTCACACTTGTGCATTTCTCTGTTTTCACCTTTAAAAACACAAAACAATAAGAAGAACCTAAAACCCCCGAGAGGCCATTTTCATGGCTCAGTTTCTCCAGAAAGAAGTCCAGAAGTGTGCTGAGAACACGACAGAATAGTTTCCATCAGATCAGAATGACTGAATGGAGTCTGATTATTGGTCCTCTCTTGATGCTTCCCAGGTCCTTCCTCCTTAGTCTTCATCACCTGATACTGAAAATGACCCAATAACTGACCAGCTGATGGCGCTGTAACAGACTCTGTTACCGTGCTAGGCTAACGCTAACACTAAGACACAACAGACTCATCTCTGCAGAGACACAACTTGCAAAACCTAAACAAGGAGCACAAACATCAACACAAACCAGGACGTTAACTGCTTTCACAGTGGCTAATGCTATGCTAACGGCTAGCAGCTAAGTTAGCAGGCAGCTACAGATTAAACAGAGTCTGAAACAATAACTTACACAGCTTTAAGATCTGGACCTTAGTGGGAAATAAAAGGGAAAGATTCAGAAGACAGGAGAACAGCAGACGGAACTGTGATTGATCTTGATCGATCGATCAGTGAACAGGAGGATATCATAGGGTCACGTGATGCTCTGATCACTTTTATTTCACTAAACATACATTCAGTCACAGTAACCATGAATATAATAATCCACTTCCTAGTGATGGACTGGCTTCAGTTTATATTGATTACCAGTAATCAGCCCTCAACAAGCCTGACTGATGGATCCATACTCCAGCTGAATGATACAACTTAGACGGTCTGTATTTAGCAGAACTCTGGACATGGAACCCAGAGGAACCGGAGGTTCTGATCCAGGATGTAAAGCAGCAGTGGTGAGGCTTCACAGAGAAACCTCTTAACGACTGCTGAAGACCCTTCTGCTGTTGTGTTTCATCTTCTATCATTTTACTGACGTTTAATCAGTTTTACTGCCTTTCATGCTCCTGCTTTTAGTCTTGCAGCACTTTGGTTCAGCTCCTGGTGCTTTATACGAATACACCTGACTTCAGACATCTGGTCTGAGACGCAGGAGGGAAACTGATCCTGAGTTCTTTGTCAGAAGTCCAGTTTCTGCACCACAGTAACTTCTGAGAGCAGACGCTGGTGAATGTGTGCTGACAGTCTGTTTGGCTGCAGGCTATGAGGTCTGACACACTTAAAGACGAGCTGCGCCTTTCTGGGACAGTCCTGATCTGATTGGTCGGCATGGTGGATCCATGTGGATCTGCTGGGTCAGCGCTCCTCAGACCGATTAGCTGTTGATGAGTCCTGATGGCTGCAGCCGCTCGCTTCCCACAAACTGACCCACATTAGAGAGTTCAGTCAGAAGGAGGAACTTCAACCCCTGAACCCTGAAACCCACCGCTAGTCTGACAGGCCGCTTATAAAGAGTCCGCCAGACGCTGCAAGAACAGAAAGAACCACGAATGTTCTACTTTCCAACAGTCTTTAAACACATCATGACTGATGTGATGCTCCATCAGGAAAACTAAACAAATCAGAGCTCAGTTGGCACTAAACAGATCCTGTAGCACCAGAACCTCCCTCCTCCTGGTTCTGATCCTGTAGAACCAGAACCTNAGATGATTGGAGGTCATGTGACTCACAGTTCATCCTGCCGGTCAGCTGATCAGACGACGGTGGCCGGACTGATGACGGCTGCTGCTTTCTGAGGACAAACAGAACATTGATCAGTCAGCTGATACATCTGATCAATTCAGCCAATTGATCTGATCACTGCCACTTCTGTAACCACAGATCGCTAATCAATCAAATGATCAGACAAAATAAGACAAACACTTATCAGAAGATCCGTTCACTGATCGATCGATAACTGCTGACCTGAACCCTTATTGATCACTGATCAGGTTTAACCTCAAACACAACAGCTGAGTCTGAACTTACAGGTGATGATGAACGTACAGGTGAGGTGTACTGGCTGCTGATTCGCTGCTTGCTGGAGGAGGACGAGTGGGAGGCGGAGTTCTGGCAGTGTGGGCGGGGCTCCTCCTGCAGCCCCTCCTGCAGGTGTGAGGAGACGCAGCCGCTGTCGGAGCCAGTGGATCCAGACAGGCATCGGGACGACGAGCCAGAACTCTCTGTGGCTGCAGAACAGAACCAGAACCATTAAAACCAGCTCATTTCCAGGTGCATCATGGGAAATGTAGGCGGCAGAGTTTCTGGACTCATTCGGATCAGCTGATTACATGAATAGTCTTTTAATGAACGGATTAATGAAATGTTCTGCTGTGACGGCGATACAGCGGCTCGGTCCTGGATCGGACCTGTACCAGCGACCCAGAACTGAGTCTGTGACGATAAACAGCAACTTCTTTACAGGACAAATGTTCAACCTGCTCAGTCTGAATCAGAACTTATTGCTGCATTAGGTAAGAAAACTGTTCAGCTTTACGTTGAGCAATCTGCAGTATTTCATTATGGACATGAGTTCTTCTTACGGTTCTGTTCTGTTCTGCTGTCAGTCGTGTTCTTGTATCTTCTCTGATTCACTGCATGTATTCTCACGTTGTGTAACAAAGTTTTGTCTCATGATAAAAAGCCTCCAAAGTTACACGCGGATCAGGAGGCGGAGCTAAAGACTGACATCACTCCATCTCCGCGGTAACGAGTGTTACGTACTCATTGAGGGCTGGCTGCTGGTCTCGTGTTCCTGTTCGTCCTCCTCGATACACAAAGCGCTGAAGGTGTTCTGAGCGGCCGGAGGGGAGGGCAGCGTCTGACTGCAGAAGGACAAACAGTCAGAACACACCTGAGCAGCTTCACCTGCAGCAGCAGCAGCAGCACAGGTGAGTCCTACCTGTACATGTGCAGGTTGAGCGGCCCCAGCAGGCTGGACGAAGACGGTCCTGATGCTGCCGAGTCCGACGTCACCGCTCCTCGCTTGAAGGGGTTCGAGTGGTCGAAGACGGAGACGGCGATGGAGGCTCGAGTTCTGGCACCTGGACGGGAAAACAGGAATATTTAAAATGGTCAAGACACGAGGATACATCCCATAATACTGATGAAATACACAGAAACTAGGTCCAGGGTTCAGACTGAGACACCTGGATGGATGTAGAACTGATCTGGTGTCAGGTTCTAGCAGAACCCAGATGTGTTTTTCCTCCTGCATGTCATGTGTCTATCTGCTGTACTGATGAAGTTCTGAGGCTCAGAAATGATGGAAACAGTCCATTAAAGTGATCGATGTGGACCCTCCTCTGTGGACTTGAAGGACCTGGACCTCTGGAACATTCACAGTCTGAAGGTAGAACTCTGGTCAGTGGATAAAGGTGCTGCAGATACAGAACCAGATGTTCTGAGGAGGTTCTGGAGGGTTGATCTTAAATAGAACGACCTCAGTGTGAAGCTTTAATCTCACATATATAAATGATGAAGACACAAAGAGGATGGAACAGAACATGCTGCGACCCAGTTGGACCTGGCACATTAACGGAGCATCACCTCGGCTCTTCATGATGTAGTGGACCGCCCGGTCGCTGATGGCGGCGTCGCTCGGCTGGATGTCCAGAAACGGTTTGTTTCCGACGCCCATGGACACCATCTCCTTCAGACGCATCTCTGCCAGCACAAACACAGCAGGTGAGCTTCAGAGCGGCGCTGCAGCAGCAAACTCTGTGTGTGGTTCTGTACCTTTGTTCCTGGTGGCCTGGGTCCAGAGGATCCGGGCGATGTCGCTGGTCCAGGCGTGTTTCACGTCTGCTGAAGACGCCTGAAGGGTGAAGGTCTGATTCTTGGACGTCCTCCTCCTGAACCAGATCTCAAACCTCAGCCCGCTGTCACCCGTCGACTCCGTCAGACCCACATCGGCCGTCTGAAGGCGACAGGGAAACGTCAGAACTGGCCTCTGCTCAGAATGGACCGGACCGGCTCACTGTGCTTACCTTGAAGGAGTGTTTGTAGATGAACACGTCCAGACCGCCATCCATCTTCTTGGGTTTGCTGAAGAGGACGAGCTCCTCGAAAAGGAAGATGTGACGCTGACATTTCCTCCGGCCGCTGCAGACCGTGAACTCGTCCTGCCGGATTAGCTGACCCTGTTCCTTCAGGTTCACCTGCAGAACCAGCAGAGGGGATGTCACGGATCAAGCTGCAGTGACTATGATTCACCTCAGGGATCAGATGTTGACCTGGTGCTGACTGAGCCCACTGAGGATTTACCAGCAGACCAATGACTGTTGAACGGTACTGTTTAGGGACTTGACCAGTTAAAGTGTGGAAACATCTGATCAGCAGGGTCATGACATGAACACCTCAGCTCTTCTCCACTGGCTGATAAAGCTTCACCGGTCTGATCATCGTCCTCCAGGTTCAGAGACACACTAGCCTCTGTCATGGTGCCGTGCTAGCTAACCTCCCACCATACAGGAGCAGCTGTAGTTTTAACTGTGCCTAGAGACAGGTTTACTGTTAGAGGATGGGTTCAGGTGTTTTACATGTTTACAGGTTGGAGTTGTGTAAAATCCTGACTTCAGTTCTGTTCTGATGCTAGCTGCCGGCCCACAGGTCTGAATGGAGCGCTGGCTAAAGCCGAGCAGCAGGACTGAAGCTTCACTGTGGTGGAGATCAGAGCTCAGTGACTCATTAACTCACGTCACAGTCTCGGATGGCGTCCATGGCCAGCAGGTCGTTGCCGTGGCGAAGCTGGAACTTGACCATGTTGGTAGCGGCTTGCAGTGCGATAAGCTCCGCCTCCTGGGCCACGCCCACCTCCTTCATGAGGTCAGACAGCAGCAGAGCATATTTACTCATTCTCTGGATGGGCTTCAGCAGGTACGACGACAGGTCCATCTTATCGCCCAGCTCCAGCTGCTTCCTCTGCAGGGGAGGCAGGTGAGACACAGGTGAGACACAGGTGAGACACAGGTGAGACACAGGTGAGACACAGGTGAGACACAGTCATGTCAGTAGACTTTAGTTCACATTATAAATGCTGCAGAATCTCACTGTTCAGTGAGCGGTTCCACTAACGGATCCTTTCAGTCTTTCTGGTTCTACTGTGGATCCAACAGTTTCATGTGAGAGACCAGAACAATGGAGGTCTTCTAACAACTTGTTTAACTGTAAACTAACTTGTATAATTCATCCTACATCCACCCAACCGGTGGAGGCAGATGGCCGTCCCTCNTGGTGGAACATCTTCCTACAGCTGATGAGCAGAGAACAGAGTCATACTGTACAGAAGACAGTTGTGGGTTTTCTCGCTGTCTTATCTTCAGTGAAAAACTGTAGTTATGAGTGAGATCTGAAGAACTCCTAGCTTGGTTTTATTCTGAAGGATCCACCAGAGGGAGGGAGGAGCTCTGACTTCTTTCTAATGATAATTAGCATTGATAAACTGAGAAGCTATTTTCAGGATTCAATACGTCCAGAAATAAAACTCCAGCAGCCGTGAAATGTGAGACTCGGACAGAACAGTTCCACCAGAACCACTGACTGGTTCCAGCAGGACACAGTTTCATTGTTGGACCTTAAAAATGGAAGAAAGTGCAAAAATGTTTAAAAAAGGGTGTACCGTGGCTGCAGAAAGTTCCTGTAAGTCTCCATATATCTAGTATGGATGGATGGATCACCAGAGCCACATGGCCCAAAGAACACATGAGTAAAGTGAAGTGACTCCAAGACAGAGGAGGAACGCAGCAACTGAAGTGAGTCAGACTGACCCAACAGGGAGGAAGAGGGAATGAAAACCTGGAGCAGAGGTCTGGAGGAGGACTGGACCAAACATGACGCTGTGGTCTGAGGACAGAACCTCTGCACGACTCCAGACTGAACCACAGAGGAGATAAAAGGTCTGCAGCTCCAAACACTGAGTCACTCTGAGTTTAAAACTGCTGCTGATGTCAACAAGCTGCACCACCTCATCACTGGTTCAGCTCTAAACACTAACTGGGTCGGTTCAAATAAATCAGCTACATCTGATCCAAGTTCCTCCAGAACCTCCTCAGAACATCTGGTTCTGTATCTGCAGTAACTTCATCGAATGACCAGAGTTCTACCTTCAGACTGTGAATGTTCCAGAGTTCCAGGTCCTTGATCCGTAGAGGAGGGTCCAGTTTGATCACTTTAATGGACTCTTTCATTCTGTCTCAGGCTCATGTCAGCATGTGTGATGGTGGTTGGTCAGAACAAGTTCTAGACGATAGAAGGACCGGTGTACCTCCAGAACACACCAGGACCATCTACAGACTATGTGGTGAATACTTGTCTAACATAAGCAGGTAAAACTTAGCATGGATTCATGAAATACGCTGAAGTTACTGTAGATGATCAACACCAGCTGCTTCTGAGGACGTCAGGCACAAAGTTATAGAAACAAAACCAAGCAGTTTGTTTCTGGTTCCCATCAGCAGCAGGTTTAAGCTCTGGATCTGTTTCTGTCATCAGAACTCAGACTAAAGTCGGGATCCGTTAACGATCTCATACTGAACCAACGTTCAATCCTCCTGGTCGCCAACATCTAGTGGTTAAATATTGTCTTTATAATACACTGCTGACTGTATGAACAGAATAAATATGACTTTACAGAAAATCGTGTAGAGATTTGTGAGTATT